CCCCCATTACCTGCATGGGGGCTGACAGCTGGGCTGTGTGTCCCAAACCCCGGGTCAGGCTGCCCCAGCCATGTGCTAACACAGTGGGGTGGGGACAGGCACAACCCAACGGTGTCCTGAGCAAAGCCTCAGTGCTCAGCGTCCCCCAGGTGAGCAGCAGAGCTTGGTGTTCCCCATGCAGGGCCAGGGAGCCCCTATTTATAGCAGGCAGATCCCTGCCCGCGAGAACGGCCGTATTGTGGGGATTTGGCAGCTGAGCCGTGTTTGTGTTTCACTAACCGAGCAGAACCATAAAAATCCAACCTGGAGCCAACGTGCCTCGAGCACTCAGGGAAAAAACACAACAGAAATCCAGAGAAACATAGCGGCCCTAAGAAAGTGCTGCTCCGGCAACAGGGTACCCAGATGCCCCCAAGGACACAGCATCTTCATTATGGGGCCCAACAGCTCAGCACTCTCATGGCGAACCCAAATCACACCATCTCCACACAGCAGATTGGGGTCTTGCAAACCACACTCGATTTTGGGTGATAACCCCCTGAAGAGCACCTGGAACTCACAGCAGGGGATGGCTGTGCCCCCAACTGACCTGAGAGCAACGGGATGGAATGACCACAGCAAACAACCCCACACCCATCCCAACCAGCACCAACCTACAGGGGATGGCAGGAGGGTCCGTAGGGATGGTTGTATGGCTCTTACCTTAAAGGGGCTCAGCAGCAGCATCGGTCCCAGCAGTGGGTGGGAAGAGCTGATCCCGCACTGCTCGGCTCAGTGCCTGGGGTGGGCATGGCCCCAAGTGCAGTGCCCCAGTGGGGACGGTGCCCCACAGCACCCACCCGGCTCACGGGCTCCGAAGCATGGGCTGCCAGTGGGCACCGTATGGGGTGGGGACACGGATGGGGCACAGGGAGAGGTGGCTGAGGGATGGAGGAGGTGTGCGATGGGGACGCACTCAGCAAATGCCTCCTTGGCCCATTATATCCAATTCCTTCCTTATTTACCTGAACAAACAGGCTGCGTGCTTACCTCAGCTGGAGGTGTTTGAACAGCCCGAGTGGGGTTAACCCTTCAGGGGTGCAGCTTGGTGCCAGGCTCAGCCCCATGCAGGACCCCATAAGGGAGTGGGACAAACCCCCGTTAACCCCTTTCCACCCAAACACCCACCCTGGTTGCACAGATGTGCAAGGTGAGAGCAGAAGGCTCTTCTGGAGCACAGAGACCCATTGGGTGCACCATGGTGGCACGCAGCATCTCGTGGCATTTCAGGGGGAGCAGGGATGCTCTGAGCCCCCAAGGACAAACCAGGACCCACTGCTCCAACCTGCACCCTAAAGTTGTCAGGGATCAGCACAGGGATGTGGCCTCTTCTCCTCCCCACATTGCTGCTGTGTGGGGCACAGTGGGAACACACAGTGCTCTGGGTCTGGGTTGTCTGCACCAGCAAAAGCAGGAAAAAGCTGTTCTGACCGAGACAGACCCCGAGCTGGTATTTATGGTCACTTTGAACACGTAAAGAACGCAGCACAGCTCAGGCAGTTCTCCTGCATGTGCAAAACCAAACTCCCATACACCAAACCCTATGCCGTGCCCCAAACCCTCATGATTTTACTGTCATCCCCCCGTCCCCTCATGTGTCCCATGGCACCCAGGGACTCTGCACCCCTCCTGCTCACTGATAAGCACAGGGAGGAGAGAGGGAAATAAAATCCCATGGAAAGGCGGTCAGAGCCTTAATGTTATCTTATCCTATGGAAAACACTGCCCCCAGATTAGGGCTGCTGCCACCCGAGGTGAGCCTTCCTCCTCTGTTTTGGGAAAAACAGCTGGGTTGGGAACACATGGCAGGGAGAGATGGAGGTGGGATGGATGGGGGGCATTGTGGGAAGGTGGGGATGTGGCACAGGTGGTGGGGGGAAAGGGGTCCTCTCAGTGCCCCCAGCTCACTGCAGCTCCAGGACCCCCAGCACTGCTCTGAGCATCTTTTACCTGCTCCCATCAGTGCACAGCACTGCGCTCAGTGGGGAGCATCCCTCCAAGTGCCACACAGCTGCAGGGTACCGAGCTGCCAGGGGCTGTGCCCACAAAGTTTGTGACTGTATGCAGCACTGTGGGTCCCCAAATGGGCTCCAGAATTCTCAACCAGGACCCAGCGCTCAACCCCACAACCATCCAAGCACAGGGAGCTTTATCAATGCTCGTGCACAGAAACGTAGGTGTGTCAGCCGTGGGGAGTTAAGATACAGAGCAGAACCTCCAGGTGAGCCACACACCCATGCACAAGCTGGGAAACCACCATGGCCACCATTGCCTTCCACACTCCCCGTGCAGTGCACAGCCCCACACTGCAAACCTCTGCCTTCCATCGCATCTCCATACAGATACCAGTGCAGGGGATGTTTGCAGGCACAAGTTGTGCACAGCGCTCCTGCCATCCTTGCTGGGATGTTGGCCAGGGGCCTCCCTTGCTCGTTAGGTTGAGTTATCATTCATTAGCAAGGCCAGGAGCAAACTAGAGGAGCATGCAATGGGATGGCATAGGGCAGAGGAGGCTCGGCTCTGTAGGAGCATCCCAAAGCCAGGTTCCTTTGGTGCTCCCTGCCCCTGTCCTGCTCTCCACTGAAGCTGGGAAAGCTCTCCCAGCTCCTCCTATCAGCAACACCGGACATTTCGATAAGTGAGAGATTAAAGGGAAAAGCATTTCCCTGCCTCGCTGAGCGTTTGCTTTGCTCAGGGAGAGCTGAGCAGCACAACGCAGGGCTTGAAAATGGAGAAACAGCCCCAAAAATGGAGAGCGGCGGTGGGAAAACACCAGGGCTGGCAAAGCCCATTTGATGTCTGCGGCAGGACCAATGGTTCCCAGCACTCACCGCTTCCCCACATCCATAGCAGCGCTCCAAAAGGTTCGGGGTGATGGGTCCCTACAGATGGGGCCAGCAGTGGAGCTGCCCCACATGGGAACCCACGGCTGCGGCCACCTGCGTCACCCCAGAGTTGTGCAATCCCAGCTGGTTGCAAGCAGCTCTGGTTACAATATGCAAAAGAGGAAAAGAATAGGTTGCAACACCTTGGGAACAACAAAAGAGGGGAAATGAAGTCTGGCTT